GTTGACAACCATGTGAAGTATAAATTGTAACTTCTACCATCCTTAATTCCCAGGGCTGACCTGTGCTGACTTCTCTTCTCAAATCCCTACCCATGCCCCTCCATCCCGGGACCAGGTGGAGGTAACCTGCACAGATCTTTGATCACATTCGAGAGGAAAAGGACTATGCTCCTAAGGTGTCAGCCATTGTATGAGTATCAACCTGCAAAAACAACACTCACTCATGCTGCATTGCAGCAATAAGAAACATCCCTTTTTTATTCCATAATGGATTTGTCTGTCAATGAGTAACAGCCGCCAATTTATCCCCGAAGAGCAATATACTATCTTGTCCTGTACTCCCTCAATTCTTTACGCCCCCCCACCTTCGCCTTATGGCTGTTGTTTAAACTCGGCACTCACGAAACGGCTGTTTTCTGCAATTCTGAGCCAGGGCCCTAGCCGTTTTTATTCTGCGTGCGACACAGGTTCTTCTCCCTGTCAGCGCATGGACACAAATAATTTCTCCTTCTTGGCAGGAGACAGGGTGTCTAATAGCTGCACACTGGGATAAACTGTAAGAATGTCTGTGGAAATGAGTAACGTGGCAATTTGCAGACAGGTCCCGGGTCTAAGTCAAATTGGTGCTATGGCTGCTCAAAGACCATCACTGACAGTTTTCCATGGTGGCAAAGGCAGGCAACCTATCATCACAGCCGCCTCTATTTTGGTCACACTGTTTCAGAGCCATTGAAAACAATACAATAATGACAATTGCACGGCACACGGCCCCCGACAAGCCTTCAAGAAATGCAGCCCGGCTTGAACGGTGCCAGTGCCAGCTGGGGGACTAACTCTGCTGTTAATGAGGGTGGTGTGGCAGAGACTGAGATGAGTAAAGATAGCTGCTGCAGATGTCTCTCCAAAGAACGGCGGTCAGTTCCCTGGCAGAATCTTGCAATTTGCTCTGCAGCTTCCATAAGGACCCTCTCTGGGCAGCATTCTCCGTCTTCAGAGATTACAGCATTTTCCTCGGCCCTCTCCTCATGCCTTCACTGCAGAGCCCGGGCCGCTGCAATTAATGTCCCACCTCTCCCAGATCCGTTTGGAATTCCAAACCACAGCCCTACTACTTCGGTAATAAGAGCTCTAAGTAAATGATGAGTAAGTAGCAGTGGCCAAGCTGCTGTTCAGATGTTTGTATTCTCATAGAGCATTGAGATCTCTTCCCCCTACTCCCACACCAAGGGTGTGCAATTAATCTGCTCTTAATATCATGCCCACTGCAGCTAATGTCTCAGTGTTTTTTTTTTTTACTTTAGTATTTGAAATCCACGGTGCATTTTGCTTCACGATTAAGAGACAGTTCTTTAATCATCAATATTTATACTGCAAAGCAAGGATCTTTTGTGCAGTAAGGCAGATGGACAAAGAAAACGCCGTATTTATCCTCCAGGAAGTGGAGTTTGGGACCTTGCAGACCTCAGTTTGCAATCACTCCGGCAGGAAAAGAGGCAGTGGAAATCATCAAGGCGCGCTGTTTTGTCTTACTCCCATCCTTCATGGATCATTACTGAAGGAATGCAGAAGGAATTGGCATGGCTCTGCTAATGTTAACACTTTCCAGCATGCTGTATGCGCTGCATGCAGTGTGTGCGCACCACACTGGTACACCAGTGCTGTATTGGCTCTGACAGCAATTTCCACCCAAAATAAAAAAAGACACAATGATTCCCACAGAAGATGAACTTGATTATATACACCGGGAGTTCTCTCCCTGTTGCAGTGAAAAACATATTGAAAACGCAGTAAGAAACCCAGTTCTTGCTGCTACATCAGCACACATCTGCAGAACACACAGAGTCTTTATGTTTCGGATCATTTGTTTAGATACATTCTGAGGTGCTCATTCATTCTGTGCTGCAAAAATGTCATTTTGAAGCACGGAGTGGAACTGTGTGCTTTTCAGAAAATAAAATATCAAAACATGTACAAAGAACTTCCCTGTTCATTATATTTTTTTATGGCTATTACAAAACTTACATCATGCACAGAATGTACTTTGTATCATTCTCTACTGTACCGATGCAGGTTTTACTGTGATTTTACTATGATTTTAATATGTTTTACAGTAAAAGATTCAATTTACGGTTTAGTATTAAATCTTTAAATTTAGAGTATTGTACACATTTGCAAAATGATCACAAATGTTAATTATGATCGCAATATATTTTTTCTGGTAACTAAATAAAATTACTAGTGAAGGTTTAAGGTATTAGTTTATAATTAACTCCAGTAATCCTGACTACTGAGGTACAGAACAGGTATTGCCTTCAGTTCACTGTGCTAACACTTCTTCTCCACCACTAAGGTTGCAGCCCCCTGTCCATTGGGGCACTG